GGGGACTGGCAACGGGACCGCAACCCTCGGCGCCGCTCCCGCGCCTCGCTCAGCCAGCGAGCAGGGAACTGGTCTGCATGTGGGATCCGAACCCTCGGGCGGGAGCGCCGCCGCGCTTCCCAAGCGGTGCACCTATCCAGTGCGCCACCGGGCCGGCAAGGAATGAGCTGTTTTGAAGGAGAATATAAGATTATCTGTGTAACCAACTCACAAAGAGCTTCCACATAAATCATCTCATCTTCTCTTTGCAACAACTCATGACAAGCAGGACAACTTGGCCTGAGATCTAGGGGGGTTAACTAGCTTGCTCAGGGTCGCCCAGCTACTACAAGTGGCAGAAAAAAGATCTGGCTCAAAGTCTTGGAGAATTTGCTAGAATGTGGCCTTTGCACTAGCTGTGCCACATTTCAAGTTTCTCCTGTCCCCAGGGTAGTGTCTCTTGTATCCTGGCACCTTTCTTCCCTTTAGATTCTATTGTGGCTGAAGGTGGGTTAGCTAGGAAGTCATCCACTTTCTGTTTCATCATGGCTTTTTTTTTTTTTTTTTTTTAACTGGCCTCTCTTGCTCTCTTCACAGCTCTAAAGAGGCTGAGGGACTCAGCCAATGCCAATGATGTGGAAACAGGTGAGTGTGCACAGTGGGTCCAGCTCCAGGGACCCATGGGCTGGTTGGGGAAGGAAAAAGCCAGGTAATCAATACCTGAGAAGGTGGTCTGCCAGCTCACTTCTGTGGAGCAGGCTCACTGTATTTAGTGTCTTCCTTTGCAGTCATCTTGTGGAAGGTAAGTGGCTTAGGTAATCACTCTCCCCATGCTCCCCTACCACCCTGAACTTCCTGATGTCATAGCATTTATCACCCTGCTTTTATCCCTGGCACCCAGCATAGTCCTCAGCAAAGAGTAGGCACTCATTTTGGAACTTCTGGTATGGGAGTGAACACTCAACTTTAACTGCCAGGTGGTCATCTGCATGCAGCTACCACCTTCGGCTGCCCATCAGGACTCTGTGGTAGTTAGGTTAAGTGGATCTCAAACTTTAGTTGACAAAGCATCTGAAAGGCACCGGTGGGGCTCCCAGCAGGATGGCACTCGTTTTCGTTGATGCTCTCCAGTGTTCACTAGCTGACAGGGCAGTAGCAGCATCAAAGATACAAGGACAATTTGTAGGACAAAATATTTAATTTTATACACTGATAATTCTTTCTGTGAATCAAGGAAAAATGCTGTGTTAGTTTTCTATCATACAGTTCAGTAGGTCAGACATCCAACACAGGTCGCACTCACTAGGCTAAAATCCAAGTGTTGGCAGGGCTGCATTTCATTCTAGAGGCTCTAGGGGAGAATCTGTTTCCCCGCTTTTCCAGCTTCTAGAGGCTGCCCACATTCCTTGGCTCATGGCCTCTTCCTCCCTCTTCAAAGCCAGCAGCAATGGACCGAGTCTTCTCACCCTGCCATTTCTCTGGTTCTCACAGCAGTGAACAGTTCTCTGATTTTAAGGACTCGTGTGATTAGATTGCATCTGGATAATCTAGGGTAACCTCCACATCCCAAGGTCCTTTTCCTTCAAACTGCAAAGTCCTTTTTGCAATGTGAGATAACATATCCACGAATTCCAGGGATTAGGGTACGGACATCTTGGAGGCTATTATGCTGCCTACCTCAAGTGGACATCATTTTATTTTGGTAGCAGGATGCTATGGTCAACAGCTAAAATATGAGCATCGATTGAGGGCCATGGTCAGGAGTGCTCACTTACAGCAGGTGTGGAGAGGGGCCCTTTACCTCAGGGAGCTGGGATGTTATACCACGGGCCATGAGATGGTTCCCCTGCCCTGGTGTAGCAGTAGTCAGCAGGCCTGGAAACTGGAAGGGTTTTCAACTCTCTTCACTTTGGTCTCTTTTCCATGAACTTTAATATTTTGGAATATTTCAGCAGCAACCTAGATAATTTTCAAGGAAAAATAATAAGCTTTTTTTTTTTTTTAATATCTCTAGTGTGTGGCCAGAGAATATCTTAATTATACTCACCTTTCACAGAAAGTCTAATTCTTGAATCAGACGATTTTATTATTTTGATAGAAATGCTGTAATTTTCCATTCAGAGCCTCTTAGATTTGCCAGGCTCCTGTAGGATCTGGTGGTGAAACTGGCTGTAGGGTCAGCCTCTTCGCTCCTTTACTTTTGGGGGGGGGGGGGGGGGGGGGG